TTAAAAATGATATAAAATAAGTTTCAACTGAAAATATACACAGTATGTGTCTTATATGCATCCTATATACTGCACATTTAAACAAATGTCCTTTTTGCTAAATTAAGTTTATGGTTATAAAATGAATATTGAATTATCCACATATTCTAAAAGCATTTAGAGATTAAATGTTTTAAATAAAGAGCTCTATCTCTGAAATTGCATCATAGATTTTTTTGCCAATCCAATCATAATCTTGTCTCAGTAAGGAATCATGTCGTCAAGTATGGCTAATGTTGTCTAAAAGAGGAGTAATAATGGTGTGCAGACCTGAAAGTGGTGTATTATGGGACTCAAAATTATGAGTATGAATGAATATCTAATATTATTTTGGTGCCACATTCAGCTGAAATGTACAATATCTACTCAAGTACAAATTATTACATTACCCTATGTTATTATTTTTTGTGCAGATTAAAGACACTAACATTTCAGCAAATAGTGAGGACACATTGAGTCAAATAAATGGTGAGTAAATGATCCATGGGAAAAATGATGTACCATCAAAGAAGTAGTGATACAGCTACAATAATTTAGTCAAAAACAAACAAAAAGACGTTAATATTTGGAGTTGAAAAAAAAAATACTTCCCAAAATACTTGCCAACATCAGTGAACCAGGAGTCTTATAAAAAATATACAGAACATAAGTAAAAGCACCCCAGCCTAAATGAAAAACTTCTTAGTGTAAACATGAATTTGTAAATGTTGCAGTGTAAATTGTTTTAGCTTAGGTTTGGATTTTTTGGTTTTGTTGTGATATTAATAAATGTTCACAATTGCATTCACAGATACGTTTATCACCCTTTTTCTCACTGACACTGAGGTTATGTCATAACACCTTAGAGGATCACAGGTAGATGAATTTATATGAATATTTTTATCTGTATGGACTGCCTCTGTCTATCTCAGCATACAGAGTACAATGGATTTTAATGTTGGTTGTATCTCGAAAACTGCTGCTCTTCATAGAAACCATATCATACTTGAAGTCAGGAAGCATTTGTCCTTCAAATGGCTCCTAATGCTAACATGAATCATGTCAATAACCAAGCACAATTCCTGTTAACAGCTTTTTTTATTAATTTCTCAGTTTTTCCCTGCATATGTAATAACTTTTGATTACCTTTGTACGTGTCATTGTATTAGATGCAAGATAACTGACACCGTTGTATGTTGTATCTCTCAGCATCTTCAGCAGCTTTGCACCTGTCAACAGGAAGGAGGAGGGTTAATACAGCCAGCCTTTGTCTGCCAAAGAACAAGTCTCAATTGACTGTCATGCTTTCACTTATGTGCACACAAGCCCTTAACCTCTATGTCTTTTTTTCCCGTATTTTTCCCACCATTTACTTAATTACTGTGAAGCTACCTACATCACCGCCTCACCTCACTGACAATTCCTTTTCTCACCTTCTGCCAGTCTTTTCCAAGCCATCTGACAAATTGCATACCCAACTTAATCTCATTCTTTACTCAGAAAGTGGATTTCCAACTCAATCTGAAAGAGTGGGGTGGGATAATCCCAGTTATTTGTTTAAAGGAGTTCATCCCATGGTCATCAAAGTCTCACGCCTGCTGTGTGACAGAGCTATTAAAGGTAAAGGGAAGTTTGATCATTCAATAAGAAATAATTTGTCCTGTGTGTAGATTTTTTACATTTCTGTGCATGTAGCTTGATCATAGGTGTAGTTCTATAAACTGCCATCTTCATTCAGCTAAACAGAACCAAAACCAACAGATTAGGGTTTTTAACAAAGTATTTCCTGTTTGCCCTGCAACAAATCAGCATGTCTATACCCCAAATACAAACAGCCTCGTAAACTGACCAAGCCGGCATCTAGGAGATTAACACAGCCCTTCACACTTCACTCTCACCGCCTTTCTGTCTTTGCCAAACACTCTTTGGGTCAAGTTACACACCTGTCGCTTTTGAGAGGCAACAGTGATACCTGCCACTCAGCTGGAAGGATTCAACTGAATATCCTGTCTGGTGTTCCTTTTCTTGTTCTGGGAACCTGAGGAGCAGAGCAGGCAGCCATTAATGGCGGAGGAAGTTGGAGGTTGCACTCAAAACAAAAGGTTGGAGGACAGCTGGATATTACCTGCCTGCATGTCATACTTTACAGATCTGCACACACACACACACACACAAAGGTGCACAATCAGACATTCATGCATACAGAAACACAATAAGCATGCAACAGTAATTGCTTTAAATGATTTGTGCTCACAGTTATCTAATTTTGCATGAATGAAGTGTTGCATGATTATGACACCGTGACAATTGTTATTTTAAGTAGTGGAAAAAGTACTCAAGTAGCAATGCCACAGTGTAGAAATACTATAATTCTTACTTATAGTATAGAAGAACTATCAGCAGATATAATATCAAACAGTATCACTGATGTATAAGCAGCATTCTGGTGTAACTGAACTAAACGGAGCAAATTTTAACTACGTTATATTCTGATTTACATATTTAGAATGATTCAGTTGTAATTGAAATGTGAGTCCCACGAATCTTCTTTGGTCTTGGGTCAACTGTGGGCTTAGAAAAACTCAACAAACAAACAAATGAATGTTAAAGAAAGCAGAAGGTTTAAAATGTGACAAACAACGTAAAAGACAGCTGAAAAGTTTCCATATCACGTGATAGTCACCTGCGCAAGGGTGTTATGTGCACACACACATCACCAGGCATTATAGAAGCAAATACATAAACATGCAACTGCACACACACACACACTCACACTCACTGCACCCACCTACACATATACTGTTTAATCTACTTAATTGAACCTGACTTTGAATAACTAAACAAATGAGGAAATTCACAAGGGGCACTTGATCCCTTCTCGGCTAATGGATTGGAGATTCCTTTCCCATAGGAGCATTTGGGCAAACAAGACCCAGTAATCTCCGAATTGATGAGTTGACTCTCTGTCTGCATCAAATTTCTCCACTAAAGAGCTGTTGAACCCCTGATACAGTGTTGGTAGTTAGCCAGATACTCAATTTGCAGACACAGGCAGAACTGTGGGCTCGCTCTGGTTTCACTATCAGCACTGTGATGTAACATAGATTTGTGAGATATAGATGCTGTGTGTAAGATATAAGATAAATGTAAAGGATGACTCCACTTTGTTGGCTCATGTTTCTTGGCTACTTCAATAACTTAACCGTATCCAAAACCGTATTATCATATTTTTTTTAGTTAGTTAGTATTATTTTTAAGTCCAGTTATTACTCTTTTTGTCTCATACGATGCACAAAGTCCAGCCAAAAAGGATAGAACTCCATCTTGATTTTGGTGACAAATTTATTAAAGTCCTGTCATTTAATCAGGAATCATTATCATCATCATCATTACCAGAAGGAATAAATAAGACATAAAACATTTTCCACATAAACAAACATATACATCAGACCCCTGGGTGCTACAGAAGTTCTTCCTTTGGGGTTGTTTTCGGTAGAACAAAACGAACGAGATACATCTGAGAACACACAAATGCATAGAAGTAATTGGACCCCTAGGTACCATTTAAGACAACATCTACATTTTTGCCTATATCCCTGTTTAAGAATGTACAAAGTCCTCATTTTTGGGTTCTTATTCATGTCCAAGAAGGGGTTTGTATAAAAATAAAGTCTCCACAATGATAAACCGTTATGTATATATATATATATATATATGTATATATATTTGAGAGAGAGAGAGAGACATTTGGCAACAACCAGACGTTTAAAGACTGAACGTTGAACTGAGTTCTGCACCTGAACACAGAGCTGATGAGAATAAAGGGGGAGTTGGTGAAAATCCAGATGGTCAATGTATAAACTTTCTGTAGTCTGTATCTGTGGTCTCCACATTGTTGTGAAAAAGGCTTATTGGTATCTGAAAACTGAACCTTTTTGACTGTTTTCTTGCTTTACATACAGTTTTACCAGTGAGGGACAATGTTAGGTCAAGTGCTTCTAATGAAGGACATTTTCCTCCTTCCTCCCATCGAGATCACATAACTGAGTGGACCTGTTAATCAAATATTGGTGAGATCCGAGGACAGCAGTCTAGTCCTTTACACAATCACTGTCCTGTGTGACTATTTTCCAGTTCCTAAAATCCAACAGAAGACACAAAAAAAAACAAAAGTCAAATTTCTTGGTAGACCAATCAAAACTGTCCGTGGTCCACTTCATCTAACCAGGAGGCAGGGCTGGCAGGAAAGTCTGGGTATCCTCCGCTGCTGCCGGTGGAGAGGTCTGAGCTTGGACCATTGGCGGCACCCATGGAGACCCTCACCGCGGGGTTGATCCCGGGCCCGCTGCCCTGGGTCATGATAGAAAGGCCAGAGTCGGGGTAGACCAAGCTGGAGATGAGAGGTTGGTGTCTGGGTAACGCCTGAAGTGGCCCTGGCGACTGAGGAAGGCCATAGGGGCTGTTGGAGCGGATGTCATGGAACTGGTCTTGAGAGGGGATGACGCTGTGCTCCAGGGGGAAGGAGCTGTGGTTGTTGCTCCCTTGGCGGCCCCCCATGGCTGGAGAGGACTCGCTCAGACTGCTGTAGATGCCGTTAGTGAGGCCAAGTTCTGACATGGGTGGTTCATCTGTACAACAAGGAGAAGACGGTGATATTTGTTATTCTTACTGGATTTACGAAAACTGTAATTTTCCACAATGGAAAACATTTACTTATTGTATATTTCTCTTGAACCAGCCCATATCTGTACCAGTCGATGGTACAAATCCCTTAAAATAAACTGTGTGAACTTATTGTCCTATTATCGGCTGAGCTAACATGCTTGCTCTGCCATTTCGGATAGCTTTTCCCCCTCTTCAGTAACTCTTTTATTGGACAAAATGATGTATAAACCCATGACCACAATACCAGGGCAGGGTAAATTGCACAGTACATGGAAAATAGAAAAGGAGTTTGCTGAGCTTTTGTGACTGCATAGAGACAGCATGTTCCCAGCCAGCTAGTGTGTGCTTTCTAGGTAGAATAGTTCACTAGATGTATCACTTTCTGGTGTGACCAGGCCTTTAGACACTTTCATAACTGAATATCATCACAACAATAAGCTCAACAAATAATTATATCACAATTTAAAGTGATTTAAACGTTAAACAGGTATAGATAATAAATTGATGCAAATTAAAAAATGGCATAACATTTACAAATACAGAATATTTTAAACTTCTATGAGATATGATCAACCAATTCAGCTAATTATTAATTAATCACCTGGAACAATGCTAAATATGTCTTTGCATTAGAAAGTAAAACACCTAAAAGCCTGTATTTAAAAGCACTGGGTAAACATTTAGTAACAGGTTTGTAACACACTGCATTTCTCATTGTAAGCAGATATAAGGTCTTGAACAGAACTGAGCCATTGTCCGTTTTGTGTGCTTGAGTCTACCTGTAAAGGACACCTCGGCGTCACTGTCCATGCCCTCCTCCTGGATGCTGTCCTTGTCGGATTTGGAGCTTCCTCGTGACCTCTTCATGTTGCGGAAGTACTGCCCCCACCTCTGCCGACCAGCGTCTTTCTTCAGCCTTTTCTCTTTGGCTCGCCTGTTCTGAAACCAAACCTGACAGGAAAAAAGACAAGATGTCTTATTTTTTTGCAAGGCTTGGGTGACTTTTAGAAACACATCTGATTGTTAAGTACAGAGTCTGAAATTTTGTTTCATTTTGTAAATTACGGATAAATGTGCCTTTGATTAAATGTAATGCTTTTAAATTCAATTTACATTTATTTGCATAATTTACGTAATCCTCTTCGGCTTGAGGACCATAAATAGCCCACATTGTTTTTTAGTCATCATGCCTCTCATACACAAGTCAAAGTCCTCTAAATCCAAACTCTCTGCTCTTTTCTTGATGCACATATTAAGCTTAAAAGCATTAAAATTGAATTAATGTTCAAGGACTGTCTGGACACTGCTTTACGCCTTGCTGAGTCCAAGTGGAGACTTAAACGGTGACACTGACCAGTAATCCTGGGGTCCAGCATCCCTTACACCAGATTTATCACGCATTTAATTAACTTCATGACAGCTACAAGTTGTCCTCACCCCAAGGAGCAGACAGGTTAGCGTACCACTGATTTAGATTATTCAAATTTTCTATATCCACTTTTGATCTGATCTATAAATTTTAGCTCTACTCCTTAGAAAACACATACACAACAAAGTCATAAACTGCCTATAACCTCACAGCTTGCAAATGTTTACGAAATCTGATCCAAAATGAATAAATGCCTCATTTTTTATTAATTTTTATCTTACACACAAAATGAATTCATTTCCGCCAGAAGCACAAAAAGCAGTTTTACATTTTCCTTAATGATATTCCGCCCTCGGTGAACCCACTTCACCTCTTCTCTTTCACTGAATAATGAGGAGCATTTTAGTGGCTTCCGTCTCTACTTTTGTCCTTGCAAATAAAACAATATATATGACCACCACCTAGCAACCAGCGTGAGGCTCCTCAGCAGTAGACAATATGCGAGGGGCCCTCTTAGCATTGTTAACGAGCTTGCACTTAAACCATGCTGACTTTCATGTGGACTTCATTTTACTCCATCTAGCCGTAAATTCCACCCCAACACGCACACACACACACACACACTTATCCGTACAGTAGTAGGCTTGTGCCAGTTCGGCCACAATTGTCCCAAGATAATGCAGTCAGGACACTAATGGAATAGCCCTTAATGGATAATAATATACTTTACCTGCACAACCCGCATATCCAGGCCCGTCTCTGATGATAGCTGCTCCCGGACGTGGCGGGCAGGTTTGGGAGAGTTATTGTAAGCATTCTTCAGCGTTTCCAGCTGTTTAGCAGTGATGGTTGTTCGTGGCCTTTTTGCAGTTGAGTCTGCTTCTGAAAAATGAATGGACAACACATAATGTTAAGCAAGTGCTGGACAGATGTGGTCTTTAAAGTATCAGGCCTGAGGGCTAATTTTGCAATAATTAAACTGACAAGTAATAAGAAAAATAAGAGAATGAACTCGAAATATACACAGTCTTATAGTGATTTTCTCTCTGGCAGCTATACTTCCATGCAAAGCATTTCAATTCACTGCTGTCTCTAAAAGTATAATACAAAAATTATTCATGGCAATAAAAATATTACGACCAACAAGAGAGATCATGGACAAATTCCTTAGGTATTCTGTTCAGTAAAATGAATATTTCTAATTAAAACACATATTCATAGCAACTGATGACATAAAACAGCTTATATGATATACAACTTTATAATTTAAGATAAATAGATAAATTCCCTGCTGCCTATAAACCAAAATCTGGCATCCTGTGCGTAATTGCATCATGTCTGCACATCTGTTGGCCAGCACAGCAAAATACAAAACCATCATCCAAATGGATGCTGCCCAAGTAATTGCACCCTCTCATTAGTAAAATAAACGTGTGTGTTTTTAGTGAAAACTTGCGTTTACTCGCTGCATAAATCAACACTTGGTGTGGGGCAGTAAATTCAAACAAACAGATGGGGAGATAAAACTTGACCATGCCCAGTCTGCCCTCTCAGGAACACAGCCTGCTGGGATTTTCAGTGAAGTTAATGCGGCCTCAGTTGATATTATCAGGGTATCTAATGAAAATGGTTTTGGCCGTATAAACAGTGCTAGAGGAAACTCTGAAATGATTTCCTGGCAACACGTGTTAAAGTATATTTTAATACTATAAATGAACTATTTCAAAGCAATACACATGCTTAATCTGGTAACTTGTGTATTAGTCTAGCTGGAAAAGCTCATATTTCCTGTCATTGAGCAACAAATATGACCAAATATTACTACACTGTAGGTAGGTAGGTCTATTAAATAGATCTTTTTGGTAATAATATGTTTTACAAAATTTGGCTTAACTTACTTGTTTGTTACCAATTTGCTAAAATATTTCCCTAAACAAATCTCCACATTCTGCACACTTTGATAAGCAATTAGCCCTATGAAAAATCATTACAGATAGCAACACATGTTCTTTTTTGGGCAGATAAAATATTTAGCAACCTGGAAGCACAACTAATTACTATTATTATTGTTCTGGTGCATTTTTTATGGTGACTTATTTGGTTTTCATTTTTCTTGAAGCACAGCCCTTTTTTAATTGTAATTTTTGTAAGGACAACTGTTTTTAAGTCACACATGAAAACTCTCTGCACATAATGACAGACAGATCATTTTAACGTGTGCATCCATCCTTCTTTCTGCGTCTCTGCTCAGGCACACAGGGCACACACGATCTCCGGCACAATAACAAGAGTTATTGAAAGCTGATTCCTTGAAGCGCCAGCAGAGTGCAAGTGTGAGAGCCTCCAGGCCTCCACTTTACGCAGCTTGCGATCGATTGGGTTGCGGGCAACGATGCAATTAGCACAGGTGGGTCAAAGTTTATGGGTGACCTCATTGTCGCGTCACACCACAGACAATGTATCATATCATTTACAGAATAAGGTCTGAGAATTACGCAGTCATTTGGAAAATAGCGCACCGTGCTGCACATATGAAGCCAGTAACAGAAATGCTGAGACAGTTATTTGAACTGGCCGTTAATGGCGCCTCACCTCTCTGTTTGGCGGTCTCGTAGTCGGCCTTACAGACCAGCCTGCTGTCCTCCATTAGATAGTACTCGTCACCTGTGGCCAGCTGCCTCTTGCACACGATGCAGGCGAAACAGTGCAGGTGATAGACGAAGTCCTGCGCTCTTCTCACCACCTGTGTGGGCGGTATCCCCTGCTGACAGGCCGCACATTTGGTCCCGAATCTCCTTTTGGGAAATTAGATATTTTTCCATCAATTTATAATAACTTTTTTTAAAAACATCATTATTATATGGTTTTAAGCAATCTAGATATTTTTCATTTACGAAAAACAAAATATTTGAAAGCTACTCACTTGAAGAAATCCTCCTTGCAGTAGACGCTGTCGCCCCTGCTGAAGCACTTCTCCGCCAGTTGCGCCTGGCAGTCGCTGCATTTCAGGCACTTGCTGTGCCAGTGGCGATCAAGCACTTTGAGGATAAAGCGGTCCACGATGTGTTGATTGCAGCCTGCACACACTGGGATTTCTGCAAGGAGACATGGTGGAATCACTTTAGTCAATTCGGTGTACATTAGATATGCTAAATGGCACTCAGAGTGACAACTGTACACGCTTATTGTGCTTAATACGCGCAAACAATTATACTTTAAAGTAATTATCTGTTGATGGACAAGCTTTAAATTATGCAAGACTCTGAGGAAAGATGCATCACACTTTAGAGCTGAAATAAAGATCGGAAGCAATATGTGCAATGTTTTATTGTATGTTCGTTTTTGCTTTTCTCTTCGGTATTTTAAATAGTTTACTATTTCATTGTTCTACTTTTTATGATTTTAAAAAGCAGTTAGTAAAATGTGAAGAATAATACACCGTTTTCAATAGGAGAACAAATTATATATATATTTAATAAAACTGTCTGTAAGTCCTTTGTCATTACATCATCATCATCATCATCATCATCATCATCATCATAATTCTTTATCCGAATGATGACGATGATGAAGGTTTTTAACTCACAATTATATCCAAAATAAAACAATGCAAAGGCTGTAACACAGATTTTACTAATTGCCAAATCAACAAATCTTTGATGGAAAAGAGACCCAAATCAAAGAAAATAAAGCACATACAAGCCCACAAGATAATTGTATTGCACAGTATAAACACACAAGCAAATAAACAAACAAATAAAATGAAATATAAAGAAACTAATAAAGCAGTGGTGTATGAAAGCCTGTACCTGCTATGAGTGATTTGATCGTGTGTTTTCCATCATTATATATAAACCCATATTAAAATGAGAGGGGGATGTTCCCGCCTCCAAGCACGAGTCTTGTATGTATGTCTGATAGTTTATAACAGTAACTTTCCACATGATTAACTGTCATAAGTGACAAAAGTATCTGATTTTCTCAAGCCTCTTAAATTTGTCCTTATTTCATGTGATCGAGGAAAAACATATACTCACCACACGTCTGAATATATGGATACATATTAAAAGCATTAATTATTTTATTTTATATTTCGGAAGGAGTCCTTGCCCTCGGCTTGGAAAGGAGGGTTTCATGCTCGAATTCAGAACCCAAGGGGAGCTTTACGTTTAATGCCTGCATTAAAGTAACACTTCACTTCACCATAGAGTATTTAGGCATATATCTCATGTGAGGAATAGATAATGAAAAAACCCACATTTCAAAATTTAAGTGATGAATTTACTTGTTAGTGAATTATTAGAAATAAATATGGATATTGATAGCAATAAATAGACAACTAAACTACTTTTTAAATATGTATGATATACATGGACATTCACACACTGATCTCTATATTATACTGAAAAAAACCCAACAAAAAACAAAGAAAAAAACTCGAGAATGCTTTGCCCAAATGAAAACCAATGGAGGCCATTCTGAGCAAAAATCCAATGCAAAATATTGCAAAACAAAGCTTTCAGCATTCTTAAATAAACGTAAAATCCCTATATGAGGTCTAAGCTACACCATGATCCTGGGAATGAATAGCTCATCAATTGAATAATGGTCGGCTTGTTAATATTTTGTCACGTGTAATTTTCTTTAACAAGCAGCACTTTTACGCAAGGTCTATTTCAGATACAGTAGCTACGATAGATCACAAAACCCTCTAACCATTTGTTCCCTCAAAGAAACAAGAAAATATTAAGACAACAGCTTTCTGATACACTTTTATAGGGACAAAAAAACAAATAAAGACAAAGCAGCTAAAGTAAAAACAAGGACAACTAAATGCCAGGTAAGACGTTATCAGGCCTCTTTATTACTAATTAAAAGAGGCTCAACCACTTCATATTCCATCCGTGCAAGGAATCGCATTCCTATTGTTCTGTTGTGGACAATTCATGAAACATTAATGAACCATTTCTTCTGGCATCACCAACGAAGCCCTGCACAAGTGTGGTGGGGAGCCACGTCAAGAACAGGTGTATCCAGGTCATCATTAATTCAACGCGCTCTGTAAAACTAGAAAGCTGCGGCCTATAGTCTCACGGTACAAACCAATAAGGTGTCCAAGCAATCTGCTCACCTTGTGGGGTCCACACTCGGAATACTGAAAATATAGACGCTTGCAAATCTCATTTGAAATCTCTTACGCAAATTCACAATATCTAACTTCGATGCATCAGCCCTCATAATTGTTCAGCATGGAACATAAAGTGAATAATAAACATACAACAATTTGAAAAAAAGTTTATAGAGACAAAACTTTTAATATATAGTCTGTATTCTGTTCAGCCTTCTGAATCTTTATGACAAAGGTTGATCTCAGATTAAAAAAATGCGTAAAACTAATGCCCAGTTCCCTCTGATTTACCCTTCAAAGCAGCACAAAATGCAAAAAAAAA